TCCTTGTAGATTCCACTCACTACAAATACCGTACCGGCGGTGTTTCCATATAGGCCCCACCATACAGGCTCTTAGGGTTCGCACCACCACGCCTTACCTGTCCGTTCAGCTCCGAAACCATCCGCCTCAGCTCCATCAAGTCATTTGCCGTACTGGCGGACATCAGCGGCTGCGCACCGCCGCCGCCGCCGCCGCCGGCGTTCGGTGTCCCTGCGGCCGCCACCGCCGACGCGACTCCCGATGGTCCCGTGTACGGCGACGGCAGGCTGCCGCCGGCGGAGGCGGAAGCCGAACTCACCTGTACGGAGAGCGTGTGCTGCCGTGATGCCGCTGCCGTACCTAGGGCGAAAGGGCCAACGGAAGTGGGCTTCAATTGGGGCAGCCATGCCGCACCGTGGCACCATGAAAACTTGACCAAGGCAACGCTTCACTTCCACCACATGCCATGTCGCACCATGGCATGTGTGGTGGTGGAAGTGAAGCGTTGCCTTGGTCAAAAGTCTTCCGTATTGTCTGCCGTGTGCGGGGTGTGCAGGTGACCCACGTATCACCCATATGTCGAAATGTGGGGCGCCTGACCCGGCCTGATCAGGCAATACCCAAATATCAAGAGGCGCTCTGGACAGCGCAAGGCAAGGTTTTATCATTGGGGGGGGTGCGGGGGTGCACACACCCCTGCGAGGTGGCTGAGCCCGAGGAGTACAGGCACATCTGGGTATACAGCCACATCCGCACGCCGCCACCCACCCCACCCCACCCCACCCCACCCCACCCCACCCCAATCCCAGTGGATAAGGTCCTCTTCCCCGGCGCTCAACGGCCAGCCAGGAGGCCAGGAAGCCAGACGCGCAAACAGACAGATGAACAAACATGCACGTATGTTGGGAAACAGCCACGCAGGCAGGTTGGGATAACTGAAACGTCCGACAGATAGGCAGGCAAACAGACAGGCAGACAGACAAACAAAACCAGCTCCTCACCAGTCGGAGAGGCCACAGCACTCTCCGCGGCCGCAGCCACACCACCGCTACTGCCAGCGGCCGAATGCTCAAACACGCCGCTGTCCTCCTCCTCCTCCACCACCACAAGCTCTCCCGCAACAGCTCCGCCGGGAGGCAGAGCGCCCACACGGCTGGACGGTACTCCGCCGCCGCCACCGCTTCCAGAGCTTCCCTCCGCTGTCGATGACCAGGCGCCCTGCACCGACATCGCTAGGGAAATGCCGGCAGCGTCGGCGGAGCTCGTGCGTACGGACGTTTCGGAGGACGGGCGATGGACGCCCGATGTACGTGTCGTACTGCTGGGCCGGACCCAACGCTGTTTGCTGCTAAACCCGCCGCCGCCGCCGCCAAACGCCCGGGCGCGTCCGCCGCTGTGCACGTTGCGGCTGCCGCCGGCGCTGTTCAGGTTCCTGCCGCCGCTTCCGCCGCCGCCGCCGGTGCTCGCGCTGGTGTTGCACTCCGCGCCACCGCCACCACCACCGCCACCGCCACCTGCAGCGATGTGGGGCTGCCACGCCCCCGCTGCGCCAACCAGCTCCGCCGTACCGCTGGCGGCGGACAGCCTGGTGTCAACGGTGCCGTGGTGATCTGCCGTACTCGCACCGGAGATAGACACACAGACGCCAGGGCTTCCGTACCAGGTCCACCCCGGCTGCTGCTGCTGCTGCTGCTGCTGAGTCGCATTACCGCCGCCGTCAGTACCGACGCCGCTGCTGCCCCCGCTCCGCGAATCACTTGGGCTAAGCCCCAGGCCCGAGCCCTGGCCGGTCCAGGCCGCGGCACCGGCTGTGGCCGCACCGCCTCCGGCCCCGGCCCCGGGCCCCGTCGTGCTAAAGAGCTGCGTCGAAAGAGCCGCTGGCGGCTGCTGGTGCAGCTGCTGGGCGTCCGCAGACGCATGACCCAAATCGGGCGTGCCGGCGACGGCCGGCAGGAAGCCAGATCCCGTGTACGACTGTACGGACGGTGCGCTGTCGTGAGCACCTGAGTCCAAGTGGATGCTGCGCTGGCTGTTGCCGCCGAGGTGCGGCAGTGGCACCGCAGCGGAGATGGCGCCGGAGGAAATGGGAGGTTCCGTCGGGGCCTCGCCGGGGCGGTACGGCTGTACGGCACCTACGCTGCTGCTGCTGCCACCACCGCCTCCGCCGCCACCGCCACCGGGGAAAGCCGCGTCAGCGGATAGGGCTGACACGGCGGTATTGGGGGTGACATGAGGGGAGGACCAGGCGACCCCCGGCGGAGGCCGGCCGCCGCCGGAGGATGGAGCGGCGGGGTTTGGGCTGCTACTGCTGCTGGCGAATCCGCTAGGGAGGGGGGGTCTGTTGAGGGGATGGTGCGTGTTAAGTTGTGGACAAGGGGCAAGGGGGCGCGGGAAGTCTTGGGCCGTAAAGCTGATCTGATGAAGAGAGGGTGTAAGGGATTCAACTGCGTGTTCTCATGCGGGAGTACAGCGAAATGACGTGAGGCTTGTCTCTGACTTTGTGGAGGCGGGTCGCTGGTTTTCGCACCTTTCGCGGTGGTCCCGGGCGCTAGCACTCCCAGCCCTCGCGCCGAAGTGGTACAGCACAGGCTGCGCAGGACCGTTGATACCATCCTGCGCGTGCAAGCTGGAATCCTTTGATACTAGAGCCATGAGGTAACCCATGGTGACGATATGGCAAGCTACGCAGGCACGGGGATAAGTGGGGCCGCGGGCGCTTGACCTGCCTGGCTGGATGCTCGCCGCGTAACCCCGCTAACAAGCCCAGAGCCGGCAATTAAATCTGCGAGCTGAGACTGTTTTTTCATCCTGTTATAGTCGAATGAAAGTGCTATCTATTTGGATCACTATCCATTTTGCAGGATGTAAAGTTACAAAATGTAATCACCAATTTCAGGTCGTATTCGAAGCGTTATCATAAACCCAGCTAATACATCAGTACCATGTAATGGCATGTTACAGCCTTGTCGCGAACAAAGCGCCCATGCCCAACTTTTTCCCTGTTCCCTGAAAGGACTCCTTTACACAGCTTTTAACAATTAAACGAGTAACACTGAATTCCCGTCATCCATGTCAGCTTTTCTGCTGCGTGTCGTAAAACCACAGGACACAACGACCAACGACTTCCACGGTAGGACGAGTGGGGTTACTGTCCAACAACCAATACGACAACAAACACGAGCGTCATATCGATATCAGGCATAGCTACAAAAGAACGAGCATTACATAGGAAGCCATCGGCCCAAGCCCTTGGCCCTCCGCCATTCAAAGCTGGCAACGTCCCAAGCCTGAGCCAGAGCTTTCCTAGCTCGATACAGTCAGGTGTACAAATCTTGTGAGCATCGTTGCTGCCAGAGCTCTCTGACGGCAACCCCATAGCCCAGTTACGGGCGACATGCGTGCACTCTCAAAATTAGGGGCAAACTCTCCGCCTTACTCCTCCATCGCTTCCTCCACCTTTGCCCCCGCTTTCTTTTGCTTGTTCTTCGGCGCCATAACTGGGGGTGGACCCTTGATCTGCAAGTCATATGTAGATGTCGTCGATGGCAGCTTGGACTGGACGCCTATGCATCCAGCCTGTATATGCGAAACCCAACCCACAACCCACCACTTTGAGCTTGCCTCCCGACTGCTCCGCAATGCCAGCCGCTGTGCTTTCGTTGCGCTTGTTAATGGCTTTCGATAACTCCTGGCACACGCAAGACGGGAAGCCCTCGTACGACAAAAGGGCCGACCACGCATGGTTCCGGATAGTGCCCACCTCACCTTGTCATCCTTGAACAACTCAAGGGATCTTCCCTTTTTCGGAGGCTTCTCAAACTTGCCTGCGCCACACCAGTGGTAAAGTGCTTGCCGGAGGCGGCCATCGACTTGTTGACCCAGTAAAAACTTTATCACACACCTTTCCTTGTCACTGATGTTTTGCCATGCCTGTTTGCGGCTTCCTTCTTTTTTTCAATTTTCTTGTTGGCCTTCAAAGGTTTTTGCGGCATGGTCTCAAGGTCAGCGCTGAAGGAAAATGCTTATCAACAAAGGTTATAAGAGAGAACGCGTTTGCTAATATGATTACGACTTTTTTGTGTAAAAGGCAAGACGTTCGTCTCGCTACCCGCAATCCGGTCCTGCTGCGCATGCTGTGGAACCATCCGGTCGAAGCCATTATACAGCAAGACATATGGAGGAGAAACAGAAAAGCTTATGCAACTTAAACGCTTTACCATAAGGTATGCACTGTCCGCCAATAGTAACATAGCGGCGTGTCAAGGAATCATGTAACGCAACACCACAAAAGCGGCCAGCCACTAGATTGGCCCGCTACTCTATCTGCCCAAATCCACATGAGACGTAAACCTACCCGGGACCCATCACCATCAGGCTTGAGCACGAGATGGCATCGCAAGCCCTTCCCCCCCACAAGGTCATCCCCGGCACCGGCGGCACAATTGTGGTTGACGCCTTCCGTTACGCGCATCCTGGCATAAAAGCTTACTTCCTCACGCACGCTCACAGCGGTACGCCTAGATCTCCCCTCGGACCTGGGCGCGCGTTGGCACAGGGCCCCGCCAACCGACAAGAGGGATGTCGGTAACCTTATGAACCCAACAGCACGGGGAGGGGGGAGGTGCGCCGTGCCACGACTCTTACAACGCATCCAACACCAAGTCCGTAAATTTCCACCAACCTATTGACTGTTGCACCGGCCTCCACTTTGCTTTGCTTGCTAGCGCCGTATCTCCCGCGCGTGTTTAGAGGCATTCGTCGAACCCCTCCCCAACTGGGAACTCCATCCTCACCCTCTTCAACCTATTCTTTCACACATCCCTCAGGCGTCCGTAGAAGACCCTCAACCCTACACCCTCCCGCCAGTTTCCCCGATCTAGTGTGTTTCCCAGCCTGCAGCTTTCCTTTTACGTCCCCAGCCTTTTCCCTCTCCCTCTCATCTCTCCCCTCCTCTCGGCCCGCGGTTCCCGGTCCTTCTCGCCACTCACCCGCAGACCACTACACGGGTCTGAGTGACAGCTGGTGCTGCGGCCCGATCTATTGCTCCGAAACCACCGCCCGCCTGGTGGCGCACCTTTGCGGCGTGGATCCCGCATACCTGAAGCCGCTCCCCATGAGGCAGCCGGTGATGGTGGCGGGTAAGTGTGCGTGTCTGCCTGTCTGTCTGTCTGTCTGTCTGTCTGTCTTATATGCGTATGTATGTATTGGGATTCAGGGAATATTGATGTTGTTTGTACTTGTATATGTGTATGTGAACGTGTGTGTGAACGTGCAAATGTGTAAAAGAGTCTGGTTGCCCTCCACCTCCACCTCCACCTCCACCTCCACCTCCACCTCCACCTCCACCTCCACCTCCACCTCCACCTCCACCTCCACCTCCACCTCCACCTCCACCTCCACCTCCACCTCCACCTCCACCTCCACCTCCAAACCCTCCCCGGTGTGCACCAGGTGTGGAGGTGACGCTGGTGGATGCCAACCACTGCCCCGGGGCCGTACAGCTGCTCTTCCGACTGCCCGCCAGCGGCGCCCGCTACCTCCACACGGGCGACATGCGCTTCTGCGCCGCCATGGCCACCTGCCCGCTGCTGGCCGCGTGGAGGGGCTGCGAGGCCGTGCTCCTGGACACCACCTACTGCAGCCCCAAGCACACCTTTCCGCTACAGGTACTGGGGTTGGGGGTGTGGCCAGGGCGTCAGGTACTGGCGGTGGGAGTGTGGAAATGTGGAAGGTGGGGCTTTTGGGACCGCGGCTGGGGGAAGTCTGTGGCGGGCTGTGGGCGGGTGCGGAGAGGAAAACTGCTCTGCAAAGAGCGGTCCAAAGAAGAGCAGTGCACATCGCAGGCAGGGCGAACTAGGGACCCTTTTGCCCTTTCCCAGGTAGCTAGGTGGTATCATGGGATATGACACGAAATACAAAAGGAAGATATACTCAACTGCCGACGTCCTAAGTGCCAATTCTGTGGGGGCCGGCCCCGGCCCCGGCCCCGGGGGCCATGCTACCGAAGCTCCTTCTTTTACACTCCGCCGGTATCCCACGAGGCAGTGAAGGGGGGTGAGGGCCCGGTTACCCCGATGGCCCTCCTCATCAGCCTGGGGTGCCCCCCCATGTGGCCTTGCCCTCACTCGCGCGCCTTGCCCTCGTGTGCTCGTGTGCGACCCGTGGGTGTCTTAGGAGGAGTCCGTGGACTACTTGGTGAGCACGCTGGGGACGTTGCTAGACGAGGATGGCAGGGCTGCGGCTGCGGCGGCGGAGGAAGCGGCAGTGGCAGTGGCGGCGGGGCGTGGTGATGGTGGTGGTGATGGTGGCTGTTTGACAGCAGCAGCAGGAGAGACAGCGGGGAGGATGCTATCGCAAGTTGCAGCAGAAGCAGGAGCAGGAGCAACGCCAGCAGCGGCTGCAGTGCCTGCGGTTGTTCTAAGCGGGCCCGCGGTTGGCAGTGGCGGCAATGGCGGTGCCGGTGGTGTGGAAGACCCCGCCGCCACCACCACCGTTGCCGCTGCTCCTGCTCCTGCTTCTAATGCTGCTCCGAGTAACTCTTCGGCTTCTGGGAAAGGAGTTTTCACTGTGGGCGGTGGCGGCCGGATTGCGGAGACCCCGGCAGCGGAGGCAGCGGAGGCAGCGGAGGCAGCGGAGGCAGCGGAGGCAGGGGGGGGGTCGGCGGTGTCTGCTGCTGTGGGTGGCGGAGGTCGCGGAGGTCCTTTCCGGCGGCTGTACCTGGTGTCCACGTACGTCATCCGGAAGGAGCGAATCCTGCTGGCGGTAGGTCCGGGGGCCGGGGTGGGCCGGGGCGGGAGGGAGGGAGGGC